TTAAAAATTGTAATTTAGAAATTTTCTAAAGCCAAATTCTAAATGATATTCTGGCATTATTATACTCAATTGGATTTCCTTGAATTGAATGCCACACAGACCCCAAACTATCGCTCGTCCTTTTCTGTATAGGAGCAAAAGCCTGTGTTATAGTTAGCGCTCTCCTCTCTCTCTCTCTCTCTCCCACTCACTTTAAAGCATAATCATTTCCCTCCGCTCAGATTTGACCTGGTTTCTATGTCAGTTTTCATCCCCTTGATATGCTTGGCGACCCGAAATCTACGCTCCTGCTGTTAGCCAGGCTTAAATGATATATTATTGTGAAACTCTCGACTGCTTTGCAGTGTTTTCCCGCCTCCGATTTATATTCAATGGAAATTAATTAACTAATACTTTCCCGTGTAGGGAAAAAAAAATTTTTAAAAAGGGCTCCAGTAAGAGAAATCAGTCATTTTTTAATTTTTCCAACACGAAATTTTTTTTTTTTTTTTTAAATACACTAAATAAATTTATTTGATTCAAATAACCGATTACTTCACTATTATCGTTACAGGCTTCACAGTGCCCCTAAAAAGTATTTTAGGGGAAATAGGGGACTGAAAATTAAAAAATAGGGGACTTTTAGGAAACCACAAAAAATTGGTAAAATAAAGATAAAAATATAATTTATTTATACAGGGTTCCCACAAAAATTTAACTTTATTTTTCCCTGACTTTTCCCTGATTTCCAAACACAACTTTCACTTTTATCCTGACTCTAAAGAATATTCTGATTCACTCTAAAAATTATTAGATACTAAAAAAAATGTTCGGTTAAATTTATTTACAAATTTCTTCAAAAGTAAAATTATTCGAAAACATCAATAGTTTTATTTAAAATAAATATTTAATCATTTTCTTATTGGAAAAAAACATTCAAATTTAAACCTTTTTGAAATAAAAATAACTGATAAAAATATTATTTCTTTATGTTTTATAATAATTAAAGATGACCGACTGACAAAATCATTATTTGTATCATTTCAATTCAATTAACATTTTCTAGAATTTTTAACAAAAATTCTACTTTAAATCAATAATATCAATTATTATTCAATTAAACTTTTTCAAAAAAAATTAATTCTACAGAATTGTTAGTTAAAATTATTACAAAAAAATGAAAATTTAATTCTACGAGAAATAAATTATTTAAATACAAAAATAAATAATATTGAATGCTTCTTAAAATTTAATTTTTACGAAGAATTGTATTAAAAACTTTTGAAAATATTTAATTTCTTTTATGGAATTTAATTAAAAGTGTAATGAAATTTATTATATTAAAGAATTTTATAACAATTTTTAAAAATAATTGAAAACTTTTTAAAAAATTTTATTCAATTTTTTAAAAATAATTGAATTCCTGAGAAGAATTTAAATAATAATTTTTGAAAACAATTGAATTTATGAGAAGAATTTTATTAAAATTTTTGAAAATAATTGAATTCTTAGAATGAATTTTTCAAAAATTTTTGACAATAATTTAATTCTTGAGAAGAAATTTTTCTATCTCTATTTATAAAGATAATTTAATTATTAACAAGAATTTTTTAAAAAATTTTGCAAATAATTTAATTTCTGCAAAGTATTTTATTACTTTTCAAAAGAATTGAATATTGTCAAAGAATTTTATTATTTATGAAAATAATTGAATTTTAAAATGAATTTTATTCAAATTTCTGAAAATAATTGAATTTTGCCGACGAATTATTCTATTCATTTATAAAGATAATTGAAATGTTCACAATTTTTTGTAGATTCTTTAAAAATAATTGAATTTCTGCGAAGAATTTTATTAATTTTGAAAATAATTGAATTTCTGCAACGAATTAAATGTTATTTATGATAATATTTGAATTATTGCAACGAATTTTATTGTTTTATTGAGTAATTGGATGTTTGTTAAAATTGAATTCTTTCCACAAGTTTTAATAAAATTTTTAATAAAAATTGTATTATTCAAGGAATTTATTAAAATTTGTATGAAAAATATTTGAAATTCTGCGATGAAAATAATTGAATTCGTAAATAAAATTTTATTATTTATGAAAATAATTGAATCTTTTCGTAGAATTGTATCAAAAAGTTTTTCCTATAATTAAATCTGTTGATAAATTTTATCAAAATAGTAAATATTAAAAATTATTTAATTACAAAAAAACTTTTGAAAGTAATTGAACTTTTGCAAAGATTTTTATAAATTTTTGAAAATAATTGAATTTTTGGCGAAAAATTTTGCTATTTGTAAACCAATTAATTGAATCAAAAAAAATATGTGATTCAAGTAAATATTTAATTGCGATAGTCAAGTTATCAATAATATAATAGTCAAGTAAAAAAAAAATAGGCAAGTAAGTAAAAAATAGTCAAGAAACTTTTTTTTCAGTGTAAAGAACAAACATTGTTTTCTATTTTAGGAAAAAAAATATATGTGAAAGAAAATTTTTCTCATGAGAAATTTTATATCCTAAGTATTAATGGTGAAAATCTCCTCTCGTTAACAGTGTGTTTTCACTGAAATGTGTTGCCATTACTTCATCATAAAAAGTCGATTGTTCAATGAGCTGAGTTTAAAAGCTGTGGCGTCCCATTTAAAAGTAAAACATCAAGCTTCAGATTTTTTTAATACTCTGAATAGTTGAGTAAAGAAATTACATTTAAAAATATAGAATAATTTTTTTCAATAAATATTTAACTACCTATTTATTTTTTAAAAAGAATTAAAATATGATTTTAAATTTTCAATATAAAGCCTTTTTGAAATTTAACTATTTCTAGAAATTCCAAGTGTAAATCATTTAAAACTAAATCATTTTTTAGTTGAAATTTTTAAAGGAAATCATTAAAAACTGTACATATTTTATTTCAAAATAATAATTTAAACATTTAATTTAATAATAATTTACACATTTACAAGAATTATAATTTTTAAAGACTTCAATTTAAGAATCTTTTAAAATTTAATTATTTTTAAAAATCCATACTAATAATGATTTAAATATTTAATTACCTATTATCTAAAATTTTAACTGAAATTCAATTTTAAATTAATTCTTATTAGAAAGTTCTACGAGAATTTAATTATTTAAATACGTTATTGAATAAATGAATATTTCTTAAAATTAAATTCTAATGAACAAATTATATCGAAAATTTTTTTTTCGATTAAATTATTGCTACGAAAAGTTTTATTAAAATTTATAAGAATAATTATTCTATTCTAAAAAGCAATTGCTTTATTAGTGGAATTCATTTAAAATTGTATTAAAAATAACTGAAATCCTGCAAAGAATTTTATTATTTATGAAGATAATTGAATTCTTAGAATGAATTTTACTAACATTTTTAAAAATAATTGAATTCGTGAGAAGAATTTTATTGTTTATTAAAATAATTGAATTCTTGCAATTAATGTTACTAAAACTTGTTTTTAAATAATTGAATTTTTATGAAGAATTTTATTTGTGAAAATAATTGAATACTGGCAAAGAATTTTATTTAATTTTTTTTTTTAATAGTTAAATTTGTTCCAAATATTTTATGAAAATTGTATTTAAATATTTAAATAATTGAATTCCATTGGAAATTTTATTATTTATGAACATAATTGAATTTTTGGAATTAAATTGTTACAAAGAATTTTATTAAAATTTTTATGAATAATTGAATTTGTTCCAAATATTTTATGAAAATAGTATTTAAAATAATAATTGAATTCCTTTGAAAGTTTTATTATTTATGAAAATAATTAAATCGTTTGAAAGGATTTTATTACAATTTTTTGAATTATTTTGAACAATTTTATTGAAATTTTTTTAATTCATTATAATAAAGTCTTTAACGTCCGAATGTTTTTAATAATATGATAAACGAAGACATTCAGGCAAAGATTCTTTAATGTTACTCCAATTATTTAAAAACATTTTATAAAATTCTTCGAAAGAATTAAATTATTTTTTATTTCAACTTTTAGGTTATTTAAAATAGCGGAAATTTTCAAACATAGGAAAAAGTAACTTTTAGTGTCACAAATCTAAAAAAAAAAGTAGCCAAATAGTAGCAAATCGTAGAAAAAAATAGTAAATAGTAAGTTTTAGTACAAATGAGTACAAAACCTGTTGTTATTATTATAAATATTTAAATTTTTTTCTAATAATTAATCATGTTTAGAATCGCACAGAAAGAAAGAGAAGTTAAATTAACACCTACTTTTTCCCGTGAAAATAAATTAATTACTATTCTGCTAATTATTATATATTAATTGGCAATATTGACTGCATATTATATCTCGAAACTTATACACATCCCTTATGAGAGCAATTAGCAGAGTAATTAATATCCCAAAAATTAAGAAACTAACCGAAGAATATTATATAAATTAAAAAAGAAATTCCATTGAAATTATTGAAATCATAAAGTTAATTATTTTGTTCCATTTAATTGGATACAATATAACAACGAAATTTTCAGAGGCAGGATGTAATTATTGTAAACAAAGCCGATCATACAGTTGCCTTGAATATTACACTTGCTTTACTTATTCCCGTTATGTTTGATCCGTTGATTGTTATTTGCGAAGCAATGTTTACACATCGCTTTCCATCATTAATTGACAGAAATTAAATGTCAATTTGTGAATAATAGAAAGCATAATTAAAACCATAATTTAACCCTCGATCTTTTTGATTACCCATTTCAGAAAATCGATTTTTTAAAATTAAATAGCATAAATTTAAATTTTTCCTTTTTTAATATATATTGAAAATTCATTAATAAGTCACTCTGGCAATAAGTGAATAAAAGTGTGAAGGATATAATAAACTGAAATGACGTTTGCAATATATAATAAAAATCAAAAAGTGAGGGTTTTGATTGACCCATTTTTCCCCCCATAATAATTCCAATAAAAAGGCATTACTGACTCACCCCGATTGATTCACCCAATAATATGCTCCAATTACCTTTCCTGCAAAAAAAAAAAATTGAACATTTCATTAATTTCTTATATTTATGACACATTTGCAAAATTAATTTAATAAAAACACACACGTAATAAAAGGAAATCGATTAATTAAAAAATATACTTGTAAATTAATAGAAGAAAAATATTGAAATTTAAACCTATAGTGAAAAATTATGAAATATTTCTCTGAATAACTTTTAACGTAATTAATTTTTTGTAAAATTCTTTGAAGCTTTTCGAGCAACTTTGAGGCACACTTGACTTATTTTCATGTGCAATAAAAAATTTGTAAAAGAAAAAATGAAAAAAAAAATTTTTTCACAAAAGAAGGATGAATATAAAGGGATATTGCACCTTAAAATATAAAACAGCTTTTTCGAATGTAAAACAAAATCGAAACATTGAAGAATTGTTCAATAGTGAATACTAGGATTAAAATTGTGTCACGCGGAAATTGGCGGATCGTAAAAATGGAAAAGTTATGAGGTCAGGACAAAAGGTTAGCCAGAGTGAAATAGAGAGAGAGAGAGAAAGAGAGACGAATTGTTGACATAAAAATATACTTGCCACCCTCTTTTGTGGCAAAACTTTATTTTTGACCTGTAAATGTACTTCCGTTGAAAATAGGAGAGAGTGAGAGAGAGCACGTAATACGCGTACTAGGTTTATACCTTGTGCACGACAAACTTTACCGTAATCCGTTACGATCGGATTATCAGGCACAACGTGCGCGGAATATTCCTGACCGGAAAGGTGAAAAGGACATCTTTCTTCCCTCTCAATTGCGGAATTACAATCTCGTAAATTCTTGAGAAAACTTTTTTCGAAATCTCATAAAGAATATATATATATATCAAATTTTGTATATATATATTTATTTATTTATTTATTTTCACTCCTGAGAAAGGTACCTAAAAAGCAAACGAATTATAGGTTATGTTTAGTTAGATTTATCTTTATTAAAAGTTTATTCTTAATTATGTAAATTTAAAACCTTATTTTACTGAATATTTTGAATGTGATAAACACTTGAATATCAACAATTTGGAATAGTAATTGATTTTCTTTCTGTATTTTTACTCTAAAAATTATAAACATAACCTAAAATTTTTTACTTCTTATGTACCTTTAAATATTTCTTATTTCTTTTTTCACAGGAAATAAAATTTAAAAAATTTCAACTTCTGAAATTTAAGAATTTCGAAAAATTAAAACTTAAACCCTACTTTCAAAAATTCAATTATTTGCTACAATTGTTTACTAAACTTCATCTCTAAATCAATTATCTATATTAATTTTAATTAATTTTCCGAAAGTTCTTCGAGTATTCAATTATTTAAATAAAAAAATTCAATTTTTTATAATAATTGCAACAGTCCATTTTTCTTTTTAAAGATATTAAGGTAGAATATTTTCAGAAATTTAAATAAAGAAATTCGTAAAATTAACTACTTATAAATATTTATAAATAATTTTTGAAAGGCAGTAGTTTTACAATTACATACACAATTAAAAAATGTCCAAAAAATTAAAATTTCGTAAAATCTTTAAAAAAATAATTTTATTATAGTAAAATCTTTGAAAAATAATTGAATTTTGATAAAATCTTTGAATAATAATTAAGTTTTTAAAAAATATAAAAAAATAATCAAATTTTTAAAGAATTTTAATTATAAATAATTTCTCAAAAATCCTAAAAAAGTAAATTTTAAAAAATTTTAAATTACTTTGTTCGAAGGTAATGGAATCTTAAAAAATTATGGTAAAACAATTCTAAGAATTAGTTTTTTATAAATATTACAATGTAATTTTTCGAAAATAATTGAAAAACTTTTGTATAATTTAAAAACAAATTTTTTTTTTAAGAATTTTAATTAAAAATTTTAAATATGATTATTTTCTCCAAAAATTTAAAAAATAATTCTAAATAATTTTAATGTTATTATTTTGTGTATGTATTTGAATTTTCGGAAATATTAAAAATATTGAATATCGAATATATTGAAAATAATTGAATTTTAGAAAATTACAACGAAATAAATCAGAGAATTACTTTTTTCAAAACTATTTTAATATTATTTTTAGAACCTAATTTGCATGAATTTTCATTTTTATTGAATTAACACTTGAAGATTATTCATTAAAATTTTTGAGAATTCAATTATTTCCAAAATTTTCAATTTAAAATTCTTTAAAAGTTAATTTTCAAAAATTGTAAAAAAAATACTTGAAAAAATGATTTATTTTCAATTAAATTTTACAAAATATCAATTATTCAAAATCTTTTCAAAAATTTAATTCGAAAATTATTCAAAAATAAATTTTTAACTTCACTTTGTAAAAAAAAGTATCCAAATACTATCAAATCGCAAAGAAGTAGTAAGTAGTAAATTTTAGTAGATGAATGCGAAATCTGCTATAATAAAAAAAAAATGTCAACCAAAAATAAAGTTTACTTTATTAATTTCATTGTTTCAATTGGTTAAATAGATTAAATAAATTTTTATTGTCAAATTATTGTCAAAAATAATCAAAATTCCACAGGAATTCAATTATTTACAATTTTTTATAAATTTCTTCTCAATAATCCAATTAATTTCATAAATTTTTAATTATTATAAATTATTGTAAAACATGAAGAAATCGATCACTCCGAGTCTTCGACTCGGAGCAATCAATATCTTCATGTTTTATAAAAATATTCGTATAAGTTGTTTAATTTCAAAAAGGTTTGAATTTGGAATTTTTGAATGTCTTAATTCCTGTGGAAAACTAATAATAATTAAATATTTATTTAAAAAAGAAATTATTGATGTTTTCGAATAATTTTACAATTAAAGAAATTCGTAAAAATGTAAAGGAGTATTTTTTTTCGAGTAAAATTTTTTCCTTTATTTTCGAAAAATTTAAAAACTTTCATTTTTAGTGAATATTTGTAATTGACAAATAAAATTTATAAACATTTGTTCCGTTTATTTTTTTAAAAAAACTTTGAATTTTATTAAAACAATTGTAATTAAAAAATTGAAATAATGTAAATAATTTCCTTATGAAAATTGAAAATTTTCTACAAAAATACTAAGAAACGGGAATAAGTAATGTCTTTTTTCCCAAAATAAATGAATGAGTTTGTGAACAATATTGTTATTGAGAAATAAAAATTATGCATGAAATGGGTATTTATTCACTATTTCTAAAAATCATAATTTTTTAAGGGTATGTGGAATCAGCCAACTTCAATTAATACATGTATTAATATTCCCACCGGTTTTCTAAAAAAATATTTAATAAATCTTGACAAAATATAAGAAAAATAATATTTTATTTATTGAGGCATGGATCTCTAGTCCAATTAATACAAAAATTTGCTTTTAAATATTATTTTTCATTTAATAAAAAGTTTGATATTTTTTGAGAAAAAAAGACAATCAAATACAAATTAATATTGAAAAAGATGAATAAATTTATATTTTTCTATGTTAACATTCATTTTTTTCAATGGCAATTTGTATTCGATTGTCTTTTTTTCTCGAAAATTGTCAAAAAAATGAAAGTTTGAATAGAAAAATATAAATTTATTCATTTTTTTCAATATTAATTTGTATTTGATTGTCTTTTTTTCTCAAAAAATATTAAACTTTTTATTAAATGGAAGATAATATTTAAAAGCAAATTTTTGTATTAATTGGACTAGAGATCCATGCCTCAATAAATAAAATATTATTTTTCTTATATTTTGTCAAGATTTATTAAATATTTTTTTAGAAAACTGGTGGGAATATTAATACATGTATTAATTGAAGTTGGCTGATTCCACATACCCTTTTCTATTTTTTATAAATAAACAAGAGAAAAATTTGCATAATTCAGATCAGTCAAACGAAATTTGTTATAAAAAAAAGCATAAATATTTTAAACAAAACAGGGTAAATTTTTCATTTGTTAATCATCATTTTTTTCAAATTTTCTAATTTCTAATATTATTTTATTATGAATCATGAAAAAATACCTGCATATTTTCGATTTTTTAAAACAAATTTCTTTTTAAGGAAAAAAAACAAAAGAATACACAATAACTAACTTCAGGTGTGGACAGAATGAAAGAATGAATTATAGGATTATTATAGTTAATTATTAAAAATTTTTAAGGAGTAAAAGATTTGAGGTATAAAAAGAAATTTAAAAAATTGATTTAAAGTATAAGCTGACAATTAAGTTAAGATAAGATTGCTGTCAGCTCACTTTAATCTGAAACTATTTTTTTGTCGCAAGTGAAGTTGTAACAAGTTATCGACAACCGGTAATTGTTGTTTTAAAATATTTTTCAACTTGTATGTCAAGATGAGTTGGAAAATTGACAAGAGAGCATTATCAGTGTTCTCAATTCCCTTGTGAATCCTCTCTCTCTCTCTCTTAAAGTTTACGTGACATACACTCTCTTCATTCTTGAAAGTTTATGCGAAAAGTGGAAGTTTACTTTGTAAAATATTCATTATCGTGATATCGTCTTTACTTTTCCCCCCTCTCTCAAAAGTGGATGAAGATTTTTAAATTGACGCTAATTTTTAAATATTGTCGCAGTTAATTTTTACTTTTTGAACTTTCGAATTTTTTCCCTTTTTTTTATTAGTTTTGTTTTTGATTATATTTATCCATTTTATTGTCTTTATATATTATATGCATGGTCTTAAAAAGTCTTTTAAGATATTAGTGAATAAAATACCTAAATAAAAAGAATGTAAAAAACATGTACTAATCTTAGAGGAGTTTTTTTCGATCGTAAAATGTAGTGCTTTAAACAGAAATCATTCTCTGTTTTTCAACGGTACTTTTTTTCTCCCTTCTTTCTGCATCGGAAAATAGATTTTTCTTGGAAAAAAATTATTGTTTTAACGCAAAATAATGAGGCATTCTAGAAGTGTAAAATTAAATACCACGAGAGAAACTGCAGAACTAAACGAAACATTTTTTTTTTTTTTCTTGTGGTAAGACAAAAGTTTGTTTCTACTTTTGGTTTGGAATTTTTTTTTCTTTTATATCGTTTCTAGAAACTCGGAAAGAGAAAAATATATCTTTTTCCAAAACTATTTTAGATTGAAGAGAATGAATTAAAAAAAAAGTGGCTAAAAAGAAAATTAATTAAAAATGTACCTGTTTCGAATAGAAATTTACTTAAACAAATTTTATTTCGCACTTGATTTTCTGAAATAAAATTTTTATTTCAAAAATTCAAGTGCGAAATAAATTTTTTATTTCAAAAATTCAAGTGCGAAATAAATTTTTTTTTAATGTAAATTTTCATTTACCGAAAAATAATTATATTTAGTTTGAATAAAACTCTTTTGAAAATTGTGATTTTGTGAAAAATGGCAATAATTGAAAGAGAGGGAAAGAAGAGAGAAAAGTATAAGGGTAATAGGAGGAAGGAAGTGAGTGAAATGGTTGAAGTGCCTTTTTCTACGTGACCAGTAGGATCGCCATATTCTTATCTACTCGAGAGGAAGTGACGTCCTCTTCGAATATGGGAAAACAGCAGCGCGTGCTCCTCGTTATTATGATAACGTGCCCTTTTTATTCGCTTTTAAGATTTAAGGAATACGTGTTTGAGTAAGATAAGAGTAATAATAATCGTCATAAGAAAGCGAGAATACAGCCACATTACCTGTGAAAATATAATAAGCTTTATTATCAAAAAAAAAAAATACTTCACCGGGACGGATTCTTGTAAAATAATATAAAATATAAAAAAAAATCTCTTTTCTCAGAGAACGACTTATAATCTTTTTCTAAAACCGCATAATCAAAAATGAGCAGAAAATGTTTGTCTGATAATTTTCGACTGTTACTGCTATAATTTTTCCAAAAAAAAATTAATTCTCAGGAATTGTTAATTAAAATCTTTTTTTTCTTTCTGTTTCAGCCTTGCGACATTCCAACAAATTATCGAGCAGAACAATGTGAAGCTTTTAATAACGTACCATACGGCGAGCAATTATTAAAATGGTATCCTTACTATGATTCAACAAGATTATGTTCCTTAATTTGTCGTGGAGAACAATCGCTGGACGATATTTCCAACAATAAAGACGAAAAATTATTACCAGCCAGAACGAAATCAAGTGAGGAGGAATACAGCACGAGTGTCGACTCCGAGGAGACGATAATCGTTCAACTCGCCGAAAAAGTCAAAGATGGCACACGATGTCGACCAGAGAGTCTCGACGTTTGCATTGGAGGCGAATGTGTCGTAAGTTAATAACAGAACAACATTTTAATTATTCTAAATTTCAAAATTTTAAATTAAAATTTTTTTAATTTTAATTTTTTAATATTTGAAAATTAAAAATTAAAAATTTTAATTTTTTAATTTTTTAAACAATTCTCTTTTTAATTGCCTACATTTTTGAAACTAGTGGACAAAAAGCGATTATGTTTCAGGATACAAATTTAAACTTCGCACTCAATAATTAAATAATTAATAAATTTAATTAAAACATAAGATTTAATGATTTAATTAAGTAATTTAATTAAAACACCTGACTCGGAATGATCGTTAAATTCAATGTTTATTAAATAAAAATAAATTTAATTCCTGCAATGAATTTTATTATTAATGAAAAAATTTAAATATTTAAAAAAATAACTTAATTCTTGCGAAGAATTTTATAAAAAAAATTTAGACAATTGATTTCTTTCGACTAATGTTCTGCAAATTCTAATTTAAACAATTGAATTCCTGAGAAATTTTTATTATTCATGAATAAAATTAAATCCTTACGAAGATTTTTACAAAAAACTTTTTAAATATTTGAATTCTGTTTGGAATTTTTTTGAAAATAGTAGATATTGAAAAGCATTGAATTACGAAAAGTTTTTAAAAATAAATAAATTTGACAAAGAATTCTATTAAAATTTTTGAGAATAATTAAAACTCTGTGTGGTATTTTATCAAATTTTTTTGAAAATAATTGAATTCCTAAAAAGCATTTTATTATTTATGAAAATAATTGAATTCTTTCGAATGATTTTATTAGAATTTTTTAAAATAATTGAATTTACAAGAAGAAATTCATTATTTTTAAAAATAATTAAATTCTTGTGATGAATATTGTTATTTATGAAATTAATTGAATTTTACAAAGAATTTTATTACAATGCCTCAAAAATCAAAATAATTGAATTTTTGTGAATAATTTTGTTATTTATCTTTAATAATTGAATTCTTTTGAAAAATTGTTTACGTAAATAATTGAATTCTTAGGAAAAATTTTATTATAATCTAAAAGAATAATTGAATTATTTTTAAAAAAAAATGTAATTAAAGTTGTATTTAAAATAATTGATTTCTTTCGAACAATTTTATTAAAATATTTGAAAATAATTGAATTCCTGTAAAAAATTCTAATATTATTGTAAATAATTGAATTCTACCAAAGAATTTAAAAAAAAACTTTAATTAAATAATTGATTTCTTTGAGGAATTGAAATTAAATTTCTCGAGTAATTCCTGTAAAATTGTATTAAAAATAATTGTAATTCTGAGATGAATTTTATTATTTATAAAAATAATTGAATAGTTGCAAAGAATTTTGTTAAAATTTTCAAAAATAATTGAATCCCTGAGAAGAATTTTATTATTTCTGAAAATAATTGAATTCTTGCGAAAGATTTCATTAGAATTTTTTACAAGAATTGAATTTCCAAGAAAAAAATTACTACTTTTAAAAATAATTGAATTCTTGTGATGATTATTTTTATTTATGAAAACAATTGAATTTTGCAAAGAATTAAAAAATTATTTTTTATTTTTAAAAATAATTGAATTTTTTCGAAGAATTTTTATTAAAATGTTTAAAAAGAATTGAATTTCTGTGAAAAATTTTGTTATTTTTGAAAATAATTTAATTCTTTATAAGAATTTTATAAACATTGTTTTAGATAATTAATTTTTTCGAAAAATAATAAATATTATGAAAATTATATTTTAAGTAATTGAATTTTTGTGGAAAACTTTATTTGCAAAAATAATTGTATTTTTCGATGAATTAATTTAAAATAGTATTAAAAATAATTGAAATTCTTAGATGGAATTTTATTAATTATGAAAATAATTTAATTTTTGTTTAGAATTTTATCAAAAATTTTTTTTTTTAAATTGAATTTCCATGAAAAATGTTATTATTAGTGAAAGTAATTGAATTATTGTCAAGAAATATATAAAAATTTCGTTAAATAATTGATTTTTTCGAAATTTTTTTGAAGATGTTATTTTAAATTAATTGAATTCCTGTGAAAATTTTATTATTTATGAAAATAATTGAATTTTGGATGAATTTGATCAATTTTTCTTTTATATAATTGAATTCTTTTGCGAAATTCTACGAAAAATCTAAATATTTAAAATAATTGAATTTCGATTAATTATTAAAAATAATTTGAATCGTTTTCAAGAATTTGATTATAATTTTTGAGAATAATTTTTTGATTTCTAGTATTAATCAATTTAAAGTAGTGGAAATTTTCAAAAAAAAAAAAACAGAAATAGTAGCTTTTAGTGCCTGAAATCTAAAAAAAAGTACATAAATAATAGCATAACGTAAAAAAAGTAGTAAGTAGTAGGTTTAAGTAGATGAGTGCGAAGCCTGAAAATTTTGTTTGCACTTAAAACTGTTCACCTAGAAGAAGAAACAACCTTAAAAAAACTCTATTTCCAAATTAATTTTTTAATGACAATTTTTGTTGTTTAAATCAAAGGAAGATTTTTGAAAATTCGGGGCGTTAAAGAACTGAAGATTTTTTTCCTATTTTACTTAAATCTTTAGCCATTTACTGATATTGATTAAGAGAAATTTATTCCAGCCTTTTGATCAATATTACTAATAACAGTTCATCCAATATTTAGTCAATCGTCATCATTGACAATTTTCCTCTCGCACGATATGTATACATATGCATGTACAGCATGCATATTTCAATTAGTATTTAGCCTCATTAGCGCTGGAGATAATAAAAAATTAATTAGCATCCCATGAGCTAATAATAATATATAATTCTCTAAACTACCATAATTGAGTTATTAGCTTTTAAATCATAATCATAATTTAATATAACTAATTTGAGCAATATGAACTCGAGTTTGTCGCAATGTGAATTTCATCGATTTGAGGAAACGTTCGGTAAATATATGCATTCACGTAATCGCGTAATTAAGGCATAAGACGGAAAACAATGTGTATGTAATAAGGAGAAGTAATATTGCAAAGTAGGTCGTCGAGTTTATGAAAATGTCTGTGATTACGAGCGAGAGAAACAAATCGGTTAATTAGAAGCTTCATCACGAAATATCTGCATACACTTGAAAAAGTATTTCTTTTTTGGAAAATTATTTAAAAATTTATTTCAAAATTCTTTCTGAATTCAATAATCCCATATTCGATATTTTCAATATTTTTCTAGAGTTGAAATTTGTTTTTTTTTTTTCTTTAAGTGAAAATATTTTAAATTACCTCTAACTTTAGAAATTAAATTGAAGAAAATTTATTATAGCGAATAAAATAAAGAAGTTGTTTTAATTTTGAGACCCGAGTGTACGTACTCAGCATCTTTAAATTCTAACCTACAGCAGTAAATGCTAACTAGTTTCGCATAATAATGGACCGACTCTAACTTTAGTCTAACAACGGGTAATTACTTTCTTCAAGAAACCTTGTTTCAGTTCAAGGCTTTTATAAAACTTATTGCCCTCGTCAATTGAACTGTAATTTTTTTACTTTTGTGAACTTCACAACGTTTATAATCAACGATTTAGGAGAAAAAAAATTTTTCTATTTCAATTATTTTTATATTTTTGTATTAAAATTGTTCTTCATAGTTTCTTTTGATCAATAAATTAGAGGAAGAACAATTTGTAAACTATTATTTATATTAATAATTAACTATAATTAACCATAATAATTTGAATGTTCTTTCATTCTTTCACTTTTTCTGTCCCTCACACTCTGAAGTTGTCTTTTATTTATACTTTTGTTTTTTGTTATCTTTAGTATATTATATTATTACTAGCAAATGTTACACGCGGAACGTGATATTCAATTTATTCTTGTCATGCAAATTACAAACTTTTTTATTTTCAAATATAAATTTTTAAAATAATTTCATAATCAAAGTTTAAAAAATTTACTTATTAAGTACAAAACTAACTATTACTGTTCACATTTTCAAAATTTTTTTTTAAATTTCACGAAAGAATTCAATTATTTTCTAAAATGTTAATAAATCCTTCTAAACAATTCAATTATTTTTTTAAATAGTAAAATCTTTACAAAAATTCAATGATTTTCAAAACAATTTTAATTGTTTTTAAAAAATTATATTTTTATAAATTTCAATTATTTTCTAAAATTTTAATAAATTCTTCGAAACAATTCAATTATTTTTATAAATACAAAAATTCTTCGCAGAAATTAAATTATTTTTAATAAAATCTGAATAAAATTACATGAAAGAATTTAATTATTTTCCAAAATTCCCATAAAATGCAATTTCAACAAGAATTTAAAATTCTCTAAAAATAATTCAATTATTCTCAAAATATTTTTAAAAAAATTCTATATCAAAAATAAATTACTTTCAATGCAATTTTTATATATATTCGTAAAAAAATTGAAAGAATTCAATTATTTTGAATATACTTAATTTTTATAAAATTATTTAAAAAAATTCAATTATTTTCCAAACAACTTCAATTGAATTTTGCGAAAAAATTTCATTATTTTTAAATATTTCTATAAAATTCTTCTTCATAACAATTTAATTATTTTTATAATTAGTAAAATTCTTCAAAATATTTTAATTATTTTTATAAATAGTAAAATTCTTCGCAATAATTCAATTATTTTAAATTTACTTTTAATAAAATTCTGCTTCATAAAATTCAATTGCTTTCAAAATTTTCAATTAAAATTATTAAAAAAAAACTCCATTAGTTTAAAAAAAAAATTCAAAGAAATTTTTCAAATGAATTTAATTAGGATTTTTTAAAATTTTAATAAATATCTTTGCCAGAATTCAGTTATTTTTCTAAATAATAAAATTTTTTGATAAAATTCTTTGAAACTTTATACTTTTCTATTATTATTAATTAATTAATTAATGTTATAATTATTTGTATTTTATAATTAATTCAAAATTGTAATGACAAATAGAAATCATCAGAATTTTTTTTTACTTTTTTTCATTAAAAGACTA